AAAAGGCGATTTTTCGTACAATCAGGGGCCATAATTCAGGAAGTTACGGTCCGATATGCGCGAATATCGAAAGGAACCGAGATCTTTTTGTTATAAACTTACATTTTAAGTTTCAACAAAATCGGATAAAAATTGTGACCTCTATAGGGTCCACAACCTTGATATACCACATTTTTACGCTATTTGAGAACGTACGGCGGCCATTTTGTCTGTCAATTTTGGGCCGATTTTCACGAAATTCGAACTCAGTTGTCCTTCGGGTGTAATGGTGACATAATAATACCTTTTTTAAAATCGGATAAAAATTATGACCTCTATAGGGTCCACAAGCTAAAAAGGCGATTTTGCGTACAACCAGGGGCCATAATTCATGAAGTTACGGTCCGATATGCGCGAATATCGAAAGGAACCAAGATTTTTGTGTTATAAACTTACATTTCAAGTTTCAACAAAATCGGATAAAAATTGTGATCTCTATAGGGTCCACAACCTTGATATACCATATTTTTACGCTATTTGAGAACGAACGGCAGCCATTTTGTCTGTCAATTTTGGCCCGATTTTCACGAAATTCGAACTCAGTCGTCCTTAGGGTGTAACGGTGATGTAATAATACGGTTTTTGAAATCGGATAAAAATTATGACCTCTATAGGGTCCACAAGCTAAAAACGCGATTTTTCGTACAATCAGGGGCCATAATTCAGGAAGTTACAGTCCGATATGCGCGAATATCGAAAGGAACCGAGATTTTGGGGTTATAAACTTACATTTCAAGTTTCAACAAAATCGGATAAAAATTGTGACCTCTATAGGGTCCACAAGCTAAAAACGTGATTTTTCGTACAAACAGGGGCCATAATCCATGAAGTTTCGATCCGATACATGCCAATATCGAAAGCAGCCGAGATCTTTTGGGGATAAACCTATATTTCAAGTTTCGTAAAAATCGGACAAGAATTGTCTGGACATCCGGACGGACAGGGGCGACGACAATATACGTCCACATGAAAATGTGGGCGTATAAAAATTTTGTTTTTTTCTACTGTCGGGGCTAGACATTTTTTAAATATTCTAAAATTCCCGCCATAAAATGTCTTGATTCGCAGATTTAATGAAACATACATAGTTTTCATTTGGGTAATGTCAAAGTGGGTAATTCTGCCACATAATGTTATAGACCTCATTTCATAAAATGCATCTGATGTAAAGAATCCAACTGAATTTTTAATCATTCCTCAGATATCCCCCATCTTATAAACCCCCCCTATTGGAATATGCTATTACTGTATTATTTCGCCACTGTACGTTTAAGACTGCACAGTAAGGGGCACCATGTAATTCCGTCACGGTGGAATCCATGAGATGTTCATTAAGTGAATGTCTTGAATGAATTCAATGATTTAGATTTTCCGCTAAAGCTAAGGAGAGCTAAGCAATTCCATTGGTCATTACTTTTGGACAAGATAACTTTGTTTCTAACTGATGGAGACTGAAGATTTTCTGCTTAGACTAAGATTAGAAAATTAGTTTGATTGCTCGATTCCTTTCAAAAAGATAAATGTGAAATTAATTAGTATGTATCATCTACATGTATTTATTTTGGGATATCGGCGGGGGACATCAGTCTCACTGTTGTTTTTTTCTTCAAGGATCCTAAATCCTAACATTAAAAGTATAAATGGTGTTCTGCTGCTTAATCCCTTGGAATAATAAGATAAATTAATCTTACTTTCTTCATGAAACACGTAGCTCCATTTACCAATTCACCTTTACGAGACCTTTTCATCCCTTTCTGTCAAGCTATTAATTTCAAGGGAGGTCTCAGGTTTTTATCTCTTATTAATTTCAATTGAGGTCTTAGGTTCTCTTTCGGTTTTGGCTGCATAGCACACTACTTGGCTATAAAAGGTTATCGTTGCCAATATTAAATGCTCTGCTAAAATGTCTTTTCCATTGGTTAAGTGTAAAATGTACAAAGTCTTAATACCGGTAATGATGAAATCAAAAGTCTCTAAGGGCAAAGTTAAATGTAAAACGTCAAATGCAATGTGCCAAATGTCAAATGTTTTATTGGAAAATGCTGTTTTATGGCGTGTCTTCATTTTACATTTCCTCATTACATTTTACATTTGCGCTCTGTCGCATCTCTTTTGTCCTTTACGCTTTCTACATAGCATCTTACGCAGAGTACTAAGTTTGATAGGCAAATGTATGATATCACGTGACTTAACATATATGGCAACGTTGCCGAGATCAACCTGGCATACTATAAGATATTTACTACACCATATTGAGGCAATCAACATGGCAAACTATAAGAAATTCTCTGGACGACTGTGCCTGTAATGGAATCATGTGATTGGTATGGCTAATCCGAGCCGTCGTCAAATAACATAAATTGAAAGTATAGTCTATATTTAGTTACTGTCAGACAGCCACACATTTCTTTCGACAAACAACAAAATATTCTTCCCAGTGATAACACGATAACTGGAATTTCGTATGAAGACCCGTATTTTGACATTTTAAACCCTCGCCACCGTTCCCCACAAACTCTCTAAATTTTAGTACAGGCTAATTAACTTTAATCCATTTTATAAAAATATAAATTAATTTCGCCCAACAAGTAATAAATATACTTAAAGAGAGGAATGATTATACATGAACGTGCTTTTCAACGATATGTAACATGCTATCTGGAATTTCGTATTATGACCCGTATTTTGACATTGCATACCTCACCCCCCCCCCCTCCGTAATCATGGCAATATAGTTTAGTAACATCCAACAAGGTAAGTAATTTTCTTATAGTGTGCCAGGTTGATCTCGACCTCGTTTCCGTATATGTTAAAAGGGAAGACCAACGATTTTCAACAAGATTTCCATAAATCTTAAATATATATTCATATTTAATCCCCTCCGTAAAACAAGCAAAAATGTTTTTGTAAGTGAGAAATTAATTTTTATTAAAACCGGAAGTGACGTAGTTGGTGCAACACGCTCACTGGTCTCTATAGTAAGCATACCGGTTACTGCTGTTCACGCGCCGTCCTTTAGCCAAATATCTGATCAATTGGGCTGTTTATTAGAATATTATAAACACGAATTTGTGGGTTTTTTTAACGTTTAGTACACAAAGCCGTTGCGTAAATTCACTTATACTGAACAGTACGCTGTTGCCCAATTCACGCCACATGGCTGATTGTTTACTATAGAGACCAGTGTGCGTGTTGAACCAACTTCATCACTTCCGGTTTAAAAAAAAAATTCTCGCTTCCAAAAACATTTTTTCTTGTGTTACAGAGGGGATGGATTATTTATCAATATATATATAAGATTTATGGGTAGCTTGTTGATAACTCACGTGGTATCCGAGAATTTGCACATCAAAGTTAGTGCTTTGCGTAAGGTGGCATGTAGAAATCGTGGCGTGGTTTCGATTCCTCGGTTGTACGTGACAAGGAGTAGGGTCGCCTATCCAACCTCGTGGGTTTTCTCCGGGTCCTCCGTTTTCCTCACGCTGCTAAAAACTCCTCCGCGCAAGCGAATTATTGAAATAAAATTTAACTATGTGTTAGTCCCGAAATGACCTAGTTTGTGTCGAGTGGACGTTAAACCACATCTCTCTCTCTCTCTCACCCGGTGCAGAAATGTGGGTCGTTAAACCCTATTTCATGCATTTTTTCTTAGCTACTCAGTATATACAGAAAGGGGAAATGTAGAATTTTTTGACTTTTATCTTAACACTTTGCCGTGTCTAATAAGCAGATTGTATAGAATTACAGCAAACATCAATAGTATTTAACTTATTCATTGATAATATAATCAATACGATTAAGCTCACGTTAACTTTCGCTGTCAGTAGTTCACTCAAATGTACATTTGTGTTCTTGAAGTACGCTTGTCTTTAAAAGCCTAATATGTATGCTGATCTATTCATTTTGCCAACACTCATCGAGCAAGGCCCTGGATCACTAATCAGGTTTCGGGTTTATTGGCCGTGAAAGTTCCTAGTCGTTCGGATGTGATGAAAAACCCTCGGCACTTGGAATACGAAATGTGAGTAGGCTGTAGCCCGTCTTCATTAGCCTAACCGGAGCACAAAAGTAGGACACTAAGCCCCCTTGCATTCAAAGTACTAACAATTTTCGCTAATTGCCAATGTACTTGAGACTAAGTAGCGTCAAGAATGTTCCGTGCACGGATCATGGCGTGGGCCGAAAAGAACCGTCGGAAATCTTCCCATTCTCACTTATCAGGGTTGGCGCCTATGGGACTGACAAGAACAATGTCTAGTCGTTCTGATGGGACGAAATAACCGAAGCTTACTCTTGTACACATTGGCATGCACGGAGTATAGGATTTTAACTAAATGATGCCCTTAGCGTTAGATCCCGGTTTTGTTCGCGAGACTTCTCCGGAATTTTCCAGCGTGGTTTCAGGACTTCGGGCTTCATAAGGGACTGCGCCTAGTCGTTCGGTGCATGAGTTCGGTGGGACTACTAACTGACTTCCCGTGTACGCGTTAGCGTAAAATATCCCTTGACATTTGAATTCGAAATAAGGGCAGGTCGTAACGCCCCTGTCCGGGCACGGATGCCGTCTTCACTAGTCCGATTGGTGCAGAAAATCACATTACATTTAAAATGCAAAAAAAAATAAAAACCCAAAACAAAGGTTAAAGCTGCAACGTCAATAGCTGAAGCCTAAATCTTGTACTGTCTATGAAGTGTTAGCATATACACCCTGACCGGAGGGCCCCCGGGTTTTGAGGTCCTAGACTTCAGCCTACAAAATCTATTCGAAAAGAACTCTGGAACGTAGGAATTACATGAAGAGTACGCGACTTTTGGTCATTTTTTTTTTATTAAAGAAACATGTCTTGTATAAAAAAATATTTATTATCACTTTAACAATAACATGACAATTTTAAAAGAAAAACAAAACAGTAAAGAATGGAAATAAAATTACAATATGCGATTGACACTTCAAAAGTTACAAATGTATAGGTGACCACATTTTTTAAAATTTTAATTTGTTTTAACTTGATAACCCGTGTTTAAAATTTCGGCGATATATATGAAGATTTGGAGATCCGTTGACTCTTGTTCGTCGAGTACTGAAAAGAGAGTGAGAAAAAAAATAAATAAAACTATTCAAAATATTTGGGATGACAAAAATGATTCAAAACTAAAATCAGTAAAAATATCAGGGTCCTGTTTCTCGAAATCTTAACCAAATATAAAATCCATATTTTAGTAGATACTTCAATTTTGATTGGCTAAACACTAAAATCAATCTAATATTATCCAATCAAATTACTAAAATCTGGATTTTATCTTAGTTAATATTTCGTGAAACAGGCCCCAGGTCTATAGTACAACAAACACAACACAGAAATCACTGTTTAAATCATGCGTCAACACCAAGAATTGACCTGGCACTATGCGTTTCACTTCTATAAAGTACGTGACAAAACCAAGAATTAAGGTGATAAATAGGCGAGCCATGAGACCCCATGTGTAACTGGTTTTGTAAATTCTGGACTGTTCTTCTTCTTGTGGTAGGGTGCCACACCATAAATAACTATCTCCAAATATCTCGACAATTACACCACAATATCTATATATACACCAAGCTTTAAATCAGTTTCAAACATTTATAGTAACTAAATAAACGGTCGTGTACTTAATAAGCTATGACCATTTAATCATCCATAAATACATGTAATACACTGAAAGATGGTTCCGAGTGTCGGCCATAACATCCGAGCACATGTGAGTAAAAAATAGGTTACGTGCCCTTGTTTTGTAAGTAGTCTCGCTTAACCAGTCTACCGACCATTCTACGTTTGATTAACATGTCGGGATAATCAAGACTACTTTTTTTTACGATAACAGAAAGCTGGAAAGTATAAATTGAATTTAGAAACACGCACGTTGGGCAACTCAACAATTGTTTTAAGAACCTTGTAAAAGTAAAATGAAACTACTGCTAGTATCATATTCTTGCCCAACGCAAGTATTTCAGAGATATTATTTGTACTAAACCAAAAGATGCCGTTCCTAATGGTACAGTTAATGATAAAGCAATTTAAAAAATAAAACGAACGTAATTTCTAAAGCTGCTATAATAACCAATAAGCTAAATAGATTTTTTACGGCTGTAATAGTTGATAGATGTGTAGAGAATTGCACGTGCGATGGCTATTTATAGTATCATAGACTCTACCGCTGAGTATTATCATAGTGCGTAGTAAGCGAGAAATCACTTCGAGATAAGCCACTGAAGCGTGTACATTCGTCGTGTCGAGACCAACTTTCTGTACGGAAAATTTGGGTGTACAGGTCACCCTACTTGTGGAGCTTTACTCTCGCTTCCGCCGACGGTGATATTGCAGGTAAGAGTCTTCTCAGAAACTTCGCGAAAAAGCCAGTCGTGAACGATAAGCTAGTCCAGAGTGAAAACGATTTAGCAAGTAAGGTATTTGTATCGACAGCATTTTCTTGGTAATAGACTTCTAAGGCCTCATACTTTATCCTTTGCGCACTCTATACAATAACCATAAAGCAAATATTACACCGCTATCCCCATACGTATTAGCTAGCCGATAAAAATGAATACAGATAAAGATGTGACCCTTAAATACTCTAAATTAATCAAAAGCATAAACCACATTTCATCGAACTATTCCACTCTCATGAGAGTATTTTGCATTTGACCCAAGAGAGCGTCTCATCCTAAATCTTAATGGGAAATAACCGTTCCGTTTGCATGATGTCCAAGTATAAATGTCAATTCTCGGATATTACCGAAATTTATCGAGCAATGCTGAATGATCCTAAGGGATACTTTAGGGCCCAAAACACGACACTTACGACAATTTGGCCCCGGTTCGGTGTGAACGTAGGTATAATAAATATTAGCGAACGTAAGTCAACATTCATTAGCTATGGCGTTAGCATCTGCCATCGCACGCCAAAGTAAAATAATCGATTACGCTGAACTTTGCGAAAATAAACGTTACGAAACAAATATCCGATAAGAAGACATACTGCTATTTCTGATTCACAGAATTTTAGGCGCCACGTTAACGACGGTTGCTCAGTGATTAAGGTGCTAGCTCACTAACTAGGATAACCCGGTGTTCGTCTTTAGAAAGTCCATCAGGATTTTCCAGTCTTGTTTCCTTATTGGCAGTGATGAAGGACGGATGGATAAACAAACCGAGGTCCCATGTACATATTGGCGTGCACATTAAAGAGCCCTTGAAAGTCTGAATTCGAAATAATAGTAGGCCGTGAAAGAACCATGGCCATCCTAGGGTTAATTATCGAAAATACAGATAATGCTCGACAGGATAGCTAGTATCCACCTTAACATAAGCGCAGTAAAAGTGTAGATTTTAGCGCTTCTCTGTGTCTCGTGGGACACAACAACACACGATACATGGCACATCTTTAATCATCTTTAATACAAAAAGAGAAGATTACTGGTCAACTGAGTATTAGCCATTTTATCTCGGGCGGATTGTTTATATATCGATATTCATTTACAATTAAATCAAAAGAAGGCCATTTGCTTGAAGGAGGTTTTATATCTATTAGTGAAGCTGTTGTGAATAAGGCTCTTTTACATGACCAACAAAGAGCTTCCAGCACTTTTCGTAAGAGGATTACCATCTTAGCAACAACTGTTAAGAGTTGAAGCTTTTCGCAAAGAAAAATGCATAAAAACAGAAATGTATTAAATATGGCATTACAGGCTGGTTGGTGAAACAAATAAAGTTACAACATAAAAAGCCACTATCACTGAATAAGACATTTGTGTTCTGAAATAATACAGCTTTGTTTGACATATAACCAGAATTTGTGACGACAACAATCAGCCCCAATGAAACTCTAAAAGTGGATACATATCAATTAGTCTGTTTCAATCACCACATCTATCCACAATTAAACCGGAAATTACCTTTGTCCCTAAACAAGACTAAAAGCACTTAATGGGCGAATTTGATAGATTCTCTCTCAAAACGTCGCGTCTATAGCTCCGAAATAATTTGATAGCATACAATGCTTCGGTTTACTTTAATCGGTCCGAGAATCTGGCTTCATTATCTATACATGTAAACTACAAAATTACATAGATAGCTGAACTACCGTGAAATTCAATTTTAAAAGCTATGACAAAAGTGACATCAAATGGAATCGAAAATGTCGTTTATCTGCCCCAGATCCACAGCCGAGCTGTCGTTTATTGTATTGGTTTATTTCTAATCAGCAAATGAACCTCGAGTCTACTTCCTTGATCGACAAATTCCGCTTACAAACAAACCCCCGTCATTGTACTATAGCAGTTTCTTTCGCATAGCTTTATTTTCAATATTATAATATCGGCTTAAAAATCTATGTTTGTAAATATACGTTTATGTTTGTTCTCGTATTATTTTATAGTAAATATCAGGAAATGATGGATGTAAATCACCCGATATTAAAACTAGATCCAAATATTAAATAAAAGAAATTCTATTTCTAGATGACTTTGTATATAATACACACGCGAATTTTTTAATGAGTTCATCCATGTAATGTTGGGGAGTCGCGGTGACTCAGTAGGCAAGAAGCCGGCTCGAACCACCCGGTGTTGGCTGAGAAAGTTACTCGGGGTTTTCCAGCGCGGTTTCCCCTTGTCAGTTGTGTAGGACGTGCGCGTGGGCGGGGGGTGAAATCGAAATTCGCGGAACGCTGAATACTGAAGGGGCTCTTGCCTTCTCATCACCACAATGCTTCACAACAAAATGGAAGAACATCCGTTAAAAACTGTAGCTTTGATCGCGTTCATAATATTGTGCAAAAATGGGGTAACTCCTGATTACAATGCTTCGCACCAGATTTGAAAAGAATCCGTTAAAAACTATAGCATCTATCGCGTGCACAGGGTTTCGGAAAGGGTGCATAAATATGGTACAGAATGACGACGAACGCTGAATATGGAGGGCGGTTGTCGCAATGGTTCGCACGTGCGAGCTGTATCATAAGGTCTGTCATTGAGTCAAAGAGCGTGGTTCCGATTGTACGTGACAAGGAGTAGGGCCACCTGTCTAATCTCGTGGATTTTCCCCGGGTCTTCCGGTTTCCTCCTACTTCTAAAGACCCCTACGCGCAAGCGAATTATTGAAATAAAATTGAACCATATGTTAATGTTAGTCCCAAAATGACCTAGGTTGTGTCAAGTGGACGTTAAACCCCATTTCTTTGTGTCGATAGGGTTCTTCCACTCATGACCAAATGTAGCTTTTATCGAGTTCACAAGTTTTTCGGAAAAGGCGGATGTCTCCTGGCCACAATGCTTTACACTAAATTTGAAAAGAATCCGTCAAGAACTCTAGCCTCTATCGCGTTTGGAAAGCCAACGGACGGACCGACGACATAATACGCCTACACTCAAAAGAATCTCTATTTTAAGATATTACAATTATTTTAGCACATGCATAGTACCATTAAATCCATTTTTATCTGTCAAATGATGTATTGTGTTTTGATTTAGAAATAAATAATATTATAGCTTTTGAGCAAACCATCTAATTTTGACCACAGTAATAACAACTTTTGTTAATCTAAAACATGTCATAAAGTAACCTGTCATGGCAAAACTGACAGCTATCAGGGAAAGGATGTAAAGTTTGTTGACAACTGCAAATTATCATAATTATAAGACGCAATAACACAATTATATTGAGAGTGCACAAAGTAAAAACAAAACGTTTTATTTGCTTAGTAAATATGGATGTTTACAAACTAATAGTATTTTTATAGAAACTTCAATCGCGTTCGAAATAACACGTATGTGATTCGTTGAGAAATTTAAATAAGTCCAAATTTGAACCAACCATATTATGCAGTCTCGCTCAACAAAAATTGTACATCAAAATCTAAATCAAGAGGAGCCCGGAAAATATTAAATATAAGAATTTCTAATTAGCAAAAGGCAAAACATTTTCTTCCTTTTGAATTGTCGAGATAAATAATGTTTCTTTTATAGGTAATACTATTATTATACATCTTAAGCATGTCGTATCCACAGGGAACTTGACTTGACAATCTACTCATATTATCTTGC